AATTAATTAATTTAACTTTTAATATAGATTTTTTTTGCTAAAAGAAGATTGGCCAAAAAATTAACGAACAACCTATATTAGGAGGGTCGACTAAATGAGCTAACCATGTTGAGTCTGGAGAATAGATTAAGAAGAATCAACCCTATGAATTCTCACAAAGGCATATCAACCTCCTTTTATATATCCACCATTCTTTCTTAATCTTTTATCTAACCATTAATATGGGATAAACAAAACTCAACCACAATTCAAGATTAAAGAATACTCAATTCTTAGAGTGTCACATTGATGGTTGTTCTTACTTTTAAATATAGAAAGAAGATATATATATATATATATATATATATATATATATTATCGATTAACCTTTTTTTGCAAAAAGGAGGTTGGACAAAATGAACCAACCCTATATGTTTGGAGGGTCGGCCAAACTGATGTTCATACATAAATTATGTGCAACTTGACTATACTTTAGTAGTTGATACTGCTAATAATAGTCAAGTATCTGTTAGTTATGTTTTTTATAATTGTCAAATTGAAATCGAGGGATGTGGGCTGCCAATTCGATTGTTCCTGATACCAATGAAAGAATTTGATATTGTGGTGAGAATGGATTGGTTAGCAGAAAACCAGGCCAATATTGTATCCAATAAAAAGATGATCAGTACTAATTTTCTGAGAAAAGGGCCGATTGTGATTTATGGTGATCCGTGAAATCATCATACCAGTTTGTTATCTGTCATAAAAGCCGTAAAATGTATTCAGAAAGGACATCACGGGTATTTAGCTTATGTGATTGATTCAAAGAAAGAAAAAGGTAAGCAAGAGTATATTCCTGTAATTTGTGATTATCCTGAAGTATTTCTAGAAGATCTGACTGGTTTACCACCGGATCTGTCCATCGAATTTAGAATTGATTTGACACCAGGGGCAGTACTGGTAGCTAGGGTACCGTATCGTCTGACACCATCTGAATTGAAAGAATTTGTAACACAGTTGAAATAATTTCTTGATAGAGGCTTCATTAGACCAAATACTTCACCTTGGGGTTCTCCGGTTCTGTTTGTTAAGAAGAAGGATGGATCTATGAGAATGTGTATCGATTACAGAGAATTGAATAAGCTGACAATTAAGAACAAATATCCCTTACCAAGAATCGATGACTTGTTTGACCAATCGGTAGGGGCAAGTTATTTTTTAAAAATTGATTTACGATCGGGGTACCATCATCTTAAGTTAAAGATGAGAATATTGCCAAGACTGCATTCTGAACCCGATACGAACATCATGAGTTTTTGGTTATGCCATTTGGTCTAACCAATGCTCCAGNACTGCATTCTGAACCCGATACGAACATCATGAGTTTTTGGTTATGCCATTTGGTCTAACCAATGCTCCAGCAATATTCATGGATTTGATGAATCGGGTATGTAACGAATATCTTGATAAATTTGTAATTGTGTTTATTTATGATATTCTTATATACTCAAAATATAAAGAGGAGCATGCTGAACATCTTCATCTAATTCTCAAATTGTTGAAGAAAGAGAAATTATTTGGCAAGCTGTCCAAATGTGAGTTTTGGTTAAGAGAAGTGCAATTTTTGGGTCATGTTATTTCTGAGGTGGGGGTAAAAGTAGATACTGCAAAAATAGAGGTGATGGGAAGTACCAAAAACTCCTACCGAGATCCGTACTTTCTTGGGTTTAGCAGGATATTATTGGAAATTCATCCAAGATTTTCTCAAGAATGGGGGTGTTCAAAAAACCGTTGGACCGCTCAAAGTGGCCGAACCTAGTCAAACCGGACCGTTTTTGGCGGTTTGAGCGATCTGGCGGTTTGGTCTAGTTTGGAAAATAGCAAAACCGAGCGGTCCGGTCTATGGTCTGGAACCTTATTTGGGCGGTTTGGACCAAACCGACCACTAAATACACACACACACACATATATATATATACACATATATATATATATATATATATATATTTTAGTATTACCAAGCTCAACCTTTTTAACTTATGGGCTATGACCCAAATATATCCATAAGCCCAACATAAAGCCTAACATCTAACATAATCAAATCCAAATGAATCGCCGCCTAAAAATCCCTAAACCAGTAAACATATCGTCACATTTGACATTGACAGTCTTCAAATTTTGAAATCCCTCAAGAACTCTATCAATCTTTCCTAATTCATGATTTGATTTTGGCGCACATCATCAAGACATCAACCAAGTTATTCAACCAACTAAGTTTTCCCTTCTATTTTGTTTGGTCAAGAATTGAAGGTTGTGAAGTCGTGGATTTTTTTACTCAATACTCACAATGGAGTTGTAACTTTGTTAATTTGTTTGTTTTCTAATATGTATTATATATTTATTTGTTTGGACTTTGAATTGCGTGGATTTTGGACTCAAGAGCTTCTTAATTATTATATTTATTTGTTTGGATATTTTGTTTTGTTAAAATGAATATTTAATCTAAAATTATAAATTACATATGTTTTTAAGTTTAATATTTAAAGTCCATTAAAGACCCAAACTGCCTAAACTGGTCAGACCAGACCGCCTTTTCATGGTCTGGTTTGACCGATCTGGGCACTTAAGGTCAAACCACTCAGTTTGAAAATTTTATAAACTACCATTACGGTTTGGTTTGTGGTCTGAGGGGTTAAACCACCCAAACCGGACCGCGAACACCCCTACTCAAGAATTGTTGCACCATTGACCAAGCTAACCAGGAAAAATGTCTAAGTATGAATGGAAAAAAGATCAAACTGCAGCTTTTCAATTATTGGAAGACCGTTTATGTAGTACTCTAGTTTTATTGTTACCAGATGGATCTGAAGATTTTATTGTATATAGTGATGCTTCGAAACTAGGTTTGAGCTGTGTATTAATGCAAAGAGGAAAAGTTATTTTTTACGCGTCTAGACAGTTAAAAGATCACGAAAAACAATATCCGACATATGATATGGATCTTGCAGCCGTGGTATGTCCATTACAGATTTGGAGGCATTATTTGTTGGGAACTAAATGTAAAATTTTTACGAATCATAAAAGTCTCCAACATTTGTTTAATCAGAAAGAATTGAATATGCGGTAAAGATGGTGGATTGAATTAGTGAATGATTATGATTGTGAAATTATTGAAGGCCAATGTGGTAGATGATGCTCTAGTAGAAAAGAAAGAAGTGGTACGATCAAAGCAGTTGCGTTGAGAATAAATTTGACTTCTGACCTTCATCATGAAATTTTAAGATGTCAAAATGAAGCTACCAAAGAAAAGAACATGAAAGCGGAAAGAGTTGGCAGAATGATTTCAACCTTGATAAAGAATGACAAAGGAATTCTATGTTTTCATACTAAAATTTGTATACCGTGTTTAAGGATACCTGGGAACTAAGTTTGGATGAAAGTCACAAATCACGATATTCGATTCATCCATGAACTAATAAAATGTATAAAGCTTTAAACCATTTTATTGGTGGTCAGGATTGAAGAAAGACATTGCAAGGTATGTAGAACGATGTTTGACATGTCTACAAGTAAAAATCGAGCATCAAAGACCATGTAGGAATTTACAGTCGTTGGAAATTTCAGTGTGAAAATGGGATCATATCACGATGGATTTTATCATGAAATTACCACAAACTCTAAAAGGGTATGATGCTATATGGATTATAGTAGATCGTTTAACTAAATCTGCGCACTTTCTACTGATTAAAGAGAATTATCCTTTATAAAGATTGGCAAAGATTTATATTGAAGAAATTGTGACTCGACATAGTGTTCCATTATCCATCGTCTCAAATAGAGATAGTAGGTTTATTTTAAAGTTTTGGGAAAGTTTTAAAAAGGCCATGGGATCTCAAATCAGATTAAGTACGACATATCATCCTCAAACCGATGGGTAAAGTGAATGAACAATCCATACCCTTGAAGATATATTAAGGGCTTGTATTATTGACTTCGAGGGATCTTGGGAGAATCATTTGTCTTTGATTGAATTTTCTTACAATAACAATTATCACTCCAACATCCAAGTAGCACCTTACAAGATTTTGTATGGCTGAAAGTGCAGAACGTCGTTGTGTTTGAATGAAGTGGGGGAAAGGCAGTTAGCTGGTCCAGAGATTGTTCAGATAACGTTTGAAAATATTGAACAAATACGTGAACGTATTAAAACAACCCAGGACCGACAAAAAAGTTATGCTGATAAGCACCGTAACCCGATTGAATTTTTAATAGGAGATTTTGTTATGTTAAAATTTGTCCATGGAAAGGTAGGGGTGTTCGCGGTCCGGTTTGGGCGGTTTAAGCCCTCAGACCACAAACCAAACTGTAATGGCGGTTTGTGAAATTTTCTGACCGAGCAATTTGAAACCAAGTGCCCAGATCGGTCAAACCAGACCACGAAAAGGCGGTCTGGTCTGACCGGTTTGGGGGGTTTGGGCCTTTAATGGGCTTTAAACATTAAACCCAAAAAATCTAGTGTCATATGTAGTATTAAAGTTTAAACCCAATTTAAACAATCCAAAGTCAAAAGTCCAAACAAATAAATATGTAAAACATACCAAAAAAACAAAGTCAAAATAGAATCCAAATCTTAGTGTTCATTGTTAAAAAAAAAAATCAAAACACTAATATGTAAAGTGCAAATTTCAAACAAAGTCCACATCTTCAGTTCTTCAAAATCCATAAAGATTTTTTCTTTATCAAACAGGAATGAGTAATCTGTAGAAAAAAATGACATCATATAAATTAAAAGGATAAAACATTGTATGAAATGTGCGAAAGAAGTAGGGAACCAATCGAAACTTACGTTATAGCGATCCAACAAGTTTCTAATCAATCATTATCAAGACTCCCAACTTCAGCCTTCAGATGGGGATTCGATGGATTTATCTACAAAATTTAAAAATAAATTAGATAAACAATATAAATAAAAACAACGTAATCTAAAATTGAAGTAATGTAAATTAATTTAAATTGATTACCCGGTTCCATATTTTCGTAAACATCCATCTCTTCCAAAATATAAGCCAAATCTAACGGCAAATTCGTGGCTCTCAACCAATTTTGACAACAAATCAAAGTTTCAACCATTGATGAACTTAATGAACTCCGAAAACAATCAAGAACTCTCCCTCCGGTGCTAAAAGCGGACTCCAAAGCCACTGTTGATACTTGGACAGCAAGAACATCTCGAACCAATGCAGACAAAATATGATACTTTGATGACGCCACTTTCCACCATTCTAAAATATTGAAGTTCTTATTTTTCCTATCTTCATTGCGTTCACTTAAGTACCTTTCAAGTTCATTTTGCATGTTCAAAGAGTCATCTTCATTACATTCTTTGTCAAACTCAGATTCAAACATCCTGACCGAATCTTCATCATCGGAATCTACTATTGGCACATGATCTTGTGTTTGATTAACACTATCTGCTTGATGCTCTACTTTAAGCTCACTAGTATAATGAACTACTAGCCTTGAAAGACAAATTTTAATGGAATCCGTGATAATGGTAATTTCATCCTCACTATAAAGTTGTCT